GCCAGCCGTCTGGTTAGCAGTCAAGTGCCTTAGGCACTATGCTACCAGAGCTCCCGTATCTTATCTTTATACATATATATATATAATTTATTTGTATTTTATTGTTGTTGCTGTTGAATATACATAGCAGAACATACGAGACTTCAGTAATTTCTACATGGACAGTTCAGCAATGCTGATCACATTCTTAAGTTTACAGCCGTTCTCACCCCCTTTTGCCTAGTTGTTCCTCCCTCACTAACACAAACTCGCTGACCCTGAGTTGCCTGCCCCCCTTTTTTTTTTTTTTTTTGAGTTGCTGTTGTCAGTTTGATCCCATAGAGACAGATCTTAAAAGGGCACAGTGCTCAAGGCAGACATCCTGACTAGTGCAGCTCAACCGTTATTTGCCTTGAAGAAGACTTTGGGGGATATTTTGGTTTAGAGTATAAAGATTATCTCAGGGCAGTCGTTTCAGGGGTTCATCCAACCCCCATGGCTCCAGAAAGTCTGGATTCCAGGAGAATTTGAAATTCTTTTCTGTACTTTCCCTCTTGTGATCAGGATTCTTCTGTAGGATCTTTGATCAAAATGTTCAGTAATGGTAGCTGGACACTGTCCAGTTCTTCTGGTCTCAGGGCAGAGGAAACAGTTGTTCATGGAGGCGATTAGCCACACATTCCATGTCCTCCTCCTATTCCTGGCCCTCCCTCTTCCTCCGTTGCGTCTGGCATAGAGACCAATTGCTGTGCTTGAATGATGACGCTTGCAAGACCCCAGGTGCTACACAACGAACTAAGAGGCAGAGCAGAAGCACTAAACACAGTATTAGGCCAATTAACTGGGCTGTCCCATGAAACCATGACTCTAAACCTCCAAACCAAGGAACCAAATCCCATGTGGTGTTTGGTTGTACATAAACAGCCTCAGTATCTATTGTTTAAAATTATTTTTAAAGTCATTGTTATAAATGTATCTATCACATGAATTTTGCCAGTTGACCTTTTCACAGATGTACAGTTTATCAACAGCAGTTGCATTAATTGGGTGTGCAATCCTATCTTTAATAAAGGTGATTTTTCCATCACTGTAAACTGACTCTCAGTACTCCATAAGTCAAAGCCCCTCATCCCCTTCCCTCCTACCCGTGGAAGCCCCTGATAATCTTTGGTGTCTATATTTGCTTGTTCTTACCTTTTTATGCAAGTGAGATCATAAACTATTTGTGCCTTTGTGATTGACTTACTGCACTCAACATGTCTTCCAGCTCCATCCACATTGTAGCACGTCTTAAGACTTTGCTTCTCCTACTGCCTGAGTAGTAGTCCACTGTATGTATGTACCATGTTTTGTTTGTCCATTCATCTGTTGATGAGCATTTAGGTTATTTCCCCTTTTTGGCTATCGGGGATAGTGCTGCAGTGAACACTGGTGTCCAAGTCCCTGAGTCTCTGCTTGCAAGTCTTTAGGGTACATACCTAGAGTGGAGTTGGTGGGTCATATGGTGGTTCTACTTGTAGTTTGTTGAGGAGCCACCGTACCGTTTTCTGTAGCGGCTGCACATTTTTCATTCCCACCAGCAATGGATAAGAGTTCTAACTTCCCCACATCTTTGTCAACATTTGTTATTTTCTGGGTTTGATCTTAGCCATCCTGTTGGATGTGAGATGGTATCTCATTGTGGTTTTTGGTTTCGTTTTTTAACTTTTTTTTTGTGATTTGACTGAAAGTTTACTGAGCAGATTGGTTTTCCATTCAACAATTCAAACACGTTTGTTTTGTGACTTTGATTGCAGTCCTCTCGGTGTAATGCACCCTTCCCACGTCCCCCCGTGTTTACTGTTTCCGTTCGTCCTGCTTTCCCAGCCCTCCTGCCATGTGAGCTCTCTCCCTGGACAGATACTACCCTTTTGCTGTCCTGTGGTTGATTGTTCTACAGACGATGTTTCTCCGTAGGATTGTTCACTTTAGGCCTGTTGTTTGGCTGAGAGTTGAGCCACAGGCTGAGTTAAATTCCACATTGGAAGGGTGACTAAGGGCCATAGTCTTGAGGGTTTCACCAGTCTCAAGCCAACCTACTAGTAAGCCTGATCTTTTTTATAATCTTGAGTTTTGTCTCGTATTTTTCTCCTACTCTCGCCAGGACCTTCTATTGTGATCCATTTCAGAGTACTCAGAAGTGGTAGTCGGGCACTATCTAGTTCATCTGGGTCTCAGGGTCATGGAGGCTGAGGTTCACATGGTCCATTAGTCCTTTGGACTAATTCCCTTACATTTCCTTCACTCTTCTTTGTTCTGGATGGGGAGAGACCAATAGTTGCATGCTAAATGGCCACTTGGAAGCTTGTAAGACCGTATCACTACCCACCGAAGTAGAATGAAGAACATTGTCTTTGTGGAATCTAATATGCCAGTTGACCTCAATGTCCCTCACAACTATGGTCCTGAGCCCCCAGGCCCAGAGACTCATTCCCTCGAGGTGTTTGGTTATGGCTAAGCAGCTTGCATACCTTTGCCCTGTTTGTTCTGCTGTGGACATGGATATATTTACAGCACATACAAATGTGTATGTAGAACCACCATTGGGGCTTTGATTTGCGTCCCTCTGGTTGAATGATGCTGGGCATCTTTTCATGTGTTTGGTGGCCATTTGAATGTCTGTTTTGGTGAAATACCTGTTCAGGTCCTTTGCTCATTTTATGATTGGGTTATTTGTCTTTTTGTTGCTAACTTGTCAAAGTTTTATATATATTGGTTATTCTATTCTTGTTGGAGATACGGTTTCTGAAGATAATCTCCCTGTTGGTAGCTTATCTAAGAATTTTATGGTTTTAGTGTGCACACTTAGGTCCTTGATCCATTTGGAATTTGTTTTTGTGGATGGTGTGAGGCATCGATCCTATTTCATTTTCTGCATTTGGAAATTCCGTTTTCTCGGCGACATTTGTTGAAGCAACTCTTCTTTCACCATTGAATGGACTTAGCACTCTGGTCAAAAATCAGTTGACTATAGATGTGTGAGTTTATTTCTGGACTCTCAGCTCTATTCCTTTGGTCTGTATGTCTATTTTTTGTAATAGTATCAGGCTGTTTTGATTACTGTAGCATGTAATATGTTTTAAAATCAGGAGACATGAGTCCTCCTACTTTGTTCTTCCCTTTCAACATTGCTTTAGCTATTTGGGGCCTCTTGCCATTCCATATAATATGAAGGATTGGTTTTTCCATTTCTGTACAGAAGGCTTTTGGAAGTTTCATTGGGATTGCATTGAATCTACAGATCACTTTGAGTAGTGTTGACATCTTAGCAATATTGAGTCTTCCAACCTAAGAACATGAAACATACTTCCATTTATTTAAGTTGTCTTTGATCTCTTTCAGCAGTGTTTTATAATTTTCATTGTATAAGTCTTTCACATCTCTAGTTAAGTTTATTCCCAGGTATGTTATTCTCTTAGATTCTATTGTAAATGGAATTGCTTCCCTAATCCCTTTCAGATTTCTCATTGCTGGTGGGTAGAGACACAAATGATTCCTGTTCGTTGACCTTGTACCTTGCATCTTTGCTAAATTCCTCTATTAGTGCAACAGGCTGTCTTGCAGACTTTTTGAGATTTTCTGTATAAAGGGTCATGTCAGCTGCTAATAAAGATAATTTTACTTCTTCTTTTCCAATCTGGATACCTTTTATTTCTTTTTCTTGTCTTATCGCTTCTAATAAATATTGAACAGAAGGAGTGAGAATAGGCACTGTTGTCTTTTTCTTGATTTCAAGGGGAAAGCCCTCAAACATTCTCCAATTAAGTGTAATGTTGGCTGGTGGCTTTTCGTATATGTCCTGAATCATACTGAGGAATTTTCCCTTATATTCCAATTTTCTTAAAAGTTTTCATCAAGAAAGAGTATTTTCTTTCATTCTATTGATGTGGGTGCATTATGTTGATTGATTTTCTAATGTTGAACCATCCCTGCATTCCTGCATTGGAATATCCATGCATTGGATTTGCATTGGAACCATCCCTGCATTGGAATATATCCCAAGTATTTTATCTCTTTATGGCTCTGTCTCCCCTCTGAGACTGGGAGCCTCTCAAGGGCAGGCAGCCCTTCCCCCACCTCCGCTCTCCCCTCCTGAGGGGCACCAGCATCTGCTCGATGTCTGCACGGCTGCTGCTCCCCCACGCCATGAATGCGGGTCATTCTGCCAGATCTGACCATGAGGCGCGGTCCTGTAATCACCTACCCAAGCCTGCCCTGTTGCTAACTAACGTGCTCTCTCCCTCTCCCCTTCCTAGGGCTGACGAAATTGAAATGATCATGACGGACCTCGAAAGAGCAAATCAGGTAGGATTTTTAATGGCTTTAGGCATGAAGCCACAATAGTGGACCCATTTCTGTCATCTTATGTTAATTCTAAGTTCGAAAGCCAGTTATTCTTGTATTTTTTTATGTACAGCTTGTCAACATTGACTTTTTCTGATGTCACAAAAAATAGAGAAATACATGATACAGTTTTTCCTCGGCAAAATCTTTGATGTGATTTCAGCAACTCAGATGCCCCTGGCGAACATCCACCACAAAGTGGGATCTTCTTTCTTTTTCTTAATCCATCTCTTACCTATCCAACTTTGTCCCCATGCATCCATTATGCAGTAGAGTTACGTAATAGAGAACCTTTATCGACTCCTCCCACAGCCCCCAGGGTAAAGCCAGGTGCTCTGGAGAGAGCGCCCAGCTGATGGCCACTCCTGCCCCTACACTTAGTCATCAGAGATGCTTTGTGGAACACACCTCACTCAGCATCCAGCGCAGTAGGCCCACCGTACTTGGTGTCTGTAAGTATTCAGCTACCTGGAAAAGTCGGCCCCCCGAATGACCCCTTCCTTCCCCAAGGACTCCATAAAACTCACTGCCACTGAGTTGATTCCAACTCACGGTGACCCCCATTGGGTTTCCAAAGCTGTGAATCTTTACAGAAGCAAACTGCCTCATCTTTCTGCCACAGAACAGCTGGTGGGTTCAAAACACCAGACTTTTGCTTAGCAGTCAAATGCTTTAACCACTACACTGCCAGAGCTCCTTATGACAGTGATAGATTTTGCCTTAGCAAATGGTGCTGCTGGTTGGGCAAGAAACCGGTTTCCCCATTTATTTTCTTTATTTGCGGGAAAAGCAGCCAGTGCTATGGTATTTCTCAACCCCAGAAGCACCCCCAACACACACACACACACACACACACACACTCAGTTTTATAGCTAGGTAGCCACACGCGCAGAAAAGTTACGTGGTTTGCGTAGAGTTGCCCAGGCGAGCACAGCCCCAGTGAGACGAATGCTCCTTGGGTCTCAGTGGTCGCTGTTTGCCACTTGGCGTTTGTCCTGTAGGGCACTTGCCCCTTCGCTGCCGCTGGTTACCAGACCTTGGCAGATGCTCAGGAAAGCACATCCTTCCCCCTTCCCAAGCCAATAAAACATCCTAGTGTCTGAGGGAAATATAAAAGTCAGTTTATACGTGCAAGTGGTCAGGGAGTGTATGGGTTTCTTTTGTCTTCAAGGACACCTTTGTGAGCACAGTGTGGGGTACTCAGCCTCACCACTGAGTACCCAGGGCCTAGCACATCACAGGCGCTCAGGGGAGATGTGTGGGGTGCATCACGTAAGCAGGAGTGATCATGACCGCTGCTGACACGTGTCCAGTACTTGTTTGTGCCTGGCTCTGTTCTAAGCACAGTCCGTGAGTTACCAACCCCGCGAGGCTGGTGCTGTTATTAGTCCCATTTCACAGATGAGGACACTGAGGTCAGCAGCTGGTAGTTTGCAGAGCCAGGCCTGGAGACCCCAGAGTGTGACTTCGGAGCATGCACTCTTCCCCGCCACGTAGGAAACAGGGATGCCGAGCCCAGGCTCATTTTGCCTTTCTTTGACACCGTCTAGTTTCATGGACGCGCCAATCCATGTCCCTCACTGCCCTGAAGCCCTGCTTCGCCTCACAGAGGCCTCACACATTTACATCCCTTTATATGCACCTTCATTCACTAAGCTTGCACTGCTCACCTTTGCAGACTCCTTCGACCACAGGTACTTGCTGGAAGGAGTGAACTTTGTCACACCATCGCCATTTGTACTACTCCAGTGTCTTCACACACACACACCTCCCATGAGGCCGGTCTTTGCCATGGCTTTCCTTTTGGTGGCACTTTGGGGTACATTCTGGTTCGTTAAACAGATGTCCTTGTTCCCTGAATTCATGTGCACTGCTCAGGGCCAGCTTTCTGTCGTCTCAGTCCGTAGGTCACCAAAGAAGGATGGCAGAGGTGAGGCAGCACATAGGACCTTTGAGAAAGGGACCCTTGGCCCAGGTCCCAACTCTCTGCATCTAGGCTGTATGAGTTGGGGCAAATCTCTTCTTAGATTTCTTGATCTCACAAAACAAATGGAGGGAGAAGGAGAATAACTAGCACTTCCTTTGCAAGAGTGTTTGGAGGGTTAGCGGTGAAACGCCTGGGCAGGAAGTAGGTGCTGGAGGAAGTGCTAGTTTTGCAGTTGCCAAACAAGCACGGATTGGGGTGGTTGCGGGGGGATCGTAAAGTCCTGCCCTAGGGAAATGGCAGCCCCAGCACCTTGTTGGGGTAGGAAGGGATACTAGGAGAGTTTTAATCAACAGTCCAGTGTGGGTGCCTCAGGCTGCGTTAATAGAAGTAGAGTTTCCAGGATGAAGGAGGCGGTGATTCTGCTCCGGTCGGCAGTGATCAGCACATGCCGGGAGCAACAGTTTATTCTGGAAGCACATTGTAAATAGCACAGCTCATTGGAGTACGTTCAGAGGCCAGGTCAGGAGGGGAACCCTCACACCAAAGAGACCAGGAGCTTTGGGACGTCCCTAATCTTGGAGGGGAAAGAAGACAGAGGGACTTGGCAGTAAGACCCAAGAGGAATCATTTCAGGAACTTGGGATGTTGAAAGATCAGAAAGGGACATGTTTCCAGTGCGACCTTGAAAACTGTGTCCTGGTAGCTTGCTATCAGGGACTGGCCAGTGGAATAGGGTCAGGCTTTTCCTGAGAGAACCCAAAGGGTGAGAGAGAGTATGGCCAAGTAGGGAAACTAGTGGAAGGAAAGTTTCTCCAAAGTCGAGAAGTTTTCTCTTGGTTCTCGCTCTGGCCTGGTGCCGAGAGCTGCCTCGAAAGAGAGTGAGCTCACCATCAGCAGAGCTGTGCACATAGGTGCAGGCAGTGCCCCCTGGGCGTCTGAGATGGGCGATCAGGCCCTGAAGGACCAGCAGAAGAGCTTGAGCTTAAAGACCCAACAAGCCGCCTTTGCCCCACAATTCTAGGATTTTATGAAGCAGCGTGATCCCACTGGTCTAAGAGATCATGTAAGAAAGAAAAAAGAAGCCCTGGCATGTTGGAAGACTACCTGGGGGACAGATAGGAGGAAATGAAATGGAAAGTCTACGGGAAAGCCAGGGAAGGTGACACGTGGCCTGGGCCTTCAACAAGGAGAAAGGCTCTGGGCTTGTAGGTCCTTCGGCAAAGCCAGAACCACAGAGAGGCCAGCAGATTGGCGGACGGCCTCAGATGAACGAGAGAGTTCAGAGGAGATGTGAATGGGAATGAGATGCTCGGATCTGAGTCCTTAAAGGAGCATTCTGGTTGCACGTTGGGGAGTGGATAGGAGTGGGGAGAAGGGAAGTAGCAGAGCAGTGAGGAGCTGTCGTGACAGAAAGGAGAAGAGGCCGCTGCCTGTGGAGGGGAGGCAGACGCAGGGGGGCGTGGGCACAGTGAGCTAGACGTCTGCATTGGTACTGGCCCGCTGGGGGAGCCCCAGGAGAGCAGTGTACCAGTTCATTGGCATGTGACATTAATTTTACTTTAGACTTACAGTCAAGATGTTCTGCTGACGCTTTGTTGTTTGGCTCAGGTACTTGTGTTTCTGTAGTGGTAAAATAGACAACAGTCAGCAACATCAGCTAAGGGTGTGTCCCATTTCCACCTGTTTGTTAAACTCCAAGGCACTTGCATTAATACTCACCATAGTAATTGAAGCAGTAAAGGTACAGAGCTTTTGAGACTCTGTGCTAAATAAGTAGCCACAGTATGACACCTCACGACCATACAGACCTCTGTCTAGGGTGTGTGTGAGTCGTGGTGGTTTAGGGGGGCCCTTCCCCCACTGGGCACAGAGCTCCATTAGAGCAGCCCTCGTGTGGGCTGCCAGCGCCCAGAGAACTGCAGCCTGGGGACCAGGAGGAAGTCACTGCAGTGAGTCCTCCTCTTCCTGGTAACGTGCCTGATTTTTATGGAGTAAGACTGCCCTCATGGAAGACCCTTCAAGCTGAGGTTAGGGTTGGAAACCACAATTTAAATTAACTAAGGAGAAGAAGCCAAGGGTAGGGAAAATGTGAGAGCAAAAGGAATTTGTAGCAGGCTGTGGCATTTTCTTTGACACAGCTATTGTGTCCTCATGGGGAAGAGTAACCTAAGTTTGGATCCCAGAATCCCACTCAGCCTTGCACAGATCCCTGGTCTCCCGGTGCCTCCGTTTCCCCACCTCTGGGTTGAGGGCAGTGATCCACTCTTCTCTGAGAGTCCTCGTTCCTTCAGCCAGCGTCATGAGCACCTGCTGTGATCCAGGCCTTGTGGGGTTGTTCCCTACCCAGGCTGGGCACCTCATAGATCCTGAGTAAGTGCTGGTTTTCTGTGGCCCAGTCAAGGGGCTCTTTGCCAGGGGGCGAACCACGTGCCTGGCTCTGTTACTTCTTGGCTTCCTGGGAACGTTGGTGTCTCCATGTAATAAATTGGGTTCCCAGGTCAGGCATGTGAGCAGGACATGGAGAGAGCCCCTGGGGCCGCACCTGGAAGACCTCTGTAGTAGGGGGAGGTGTAGGGAGATGTGTTCTTCTGAGGAGCACTGTTGGCGTGGGCGGTGGTGGTGGAGGTCCAGCTCCCAGCCTGGTAGACCCAGTGGGCAGATCCAAGTCAGTGCCCATGCTGCCCCCGACTCACAGGCAGTGGGTCTACATGCGGCTTTGGCTCACAGTGTATTGTCCCTTTGGACCCGTGGCAATAGATTCCTTGTCCCCAGTCCTTGGTAGATCTTTCTGACCTCCCTCCTGCAGAATCAGTGAGGTGGGGTCTCTAAGGTTCTGGTGATCTATGCAGTCACACATGAGCAGCCCTTTGGAACGATGTCACAAGTTTGCCGTGTACTTTCCAAAGTGATGAGGTCTGTTGACCTACTGCTGGTGTGTGTGCTCTCATCTGTCTCTTTCACTCCACAATAAGGGGCCCTGGGAGGGCCAAGTCAAGGAGTCATCTCCAAGGAAGTAGTTGAAACGTCTTACCTGTCACTTGTCCTTGAGGAGTGTGGTGGTGAGAAGAATGAGTCCCCACTCCCCCCAGAAATGTCCATGTCCTAATCCCTGGAACTGTGAATATGTGGGTTCCATGGCAAAGGGGGATTCAGGTTGCAGATGGAATGCAGGTCGCTTGTAGCTGCCTTGAGGTGAAGAGATTGATCCTGGACTATCCCAAGACACCAGCATCCTTCCTTACCTGTGGAAGAAGGAGGCCAAAGGGTCCGTGTCAGATGGTATCATATGAGAAAGACTCAACTGGCTGTTGCTGGCCTTGCAGATGGAAGAAGGGGCCCCGAGCCAAGGAATGTGAGCCGCCTCTGGAAGCTGGAAAAGGCGAGGAAACGGAGTGCCTCAGAGCTTCCAGAAGGAGCACTGCCTGCCAGCACCTTGCGTTTAGCCAACTGGAACCCCTTTCTGACTTCTGACCTCCAGAACTGCAGGATCCATCTGTGTTGTGTTAATCCACCAAATAGGTGGTAAACTGTCACAACAACAGTGGGGACGTTACATAAGGAGGGAAAGATCCCTCATGTCGTCAAGTTGGTTCTGACTCCTGGTGACCCCTGTGTGTCAGAGAAGAACCGAAGGTTTTTAATGGCTGGTGTTTTCAGAAGTAGATCACAGGCCTGTCTTTCAAGGCATCTCTGAGTGGCCCCGAGCCTTCAACCCTTTGGTCAGCAGCTGAGAGGTCAGCCATGTGCACCTCCCAGGGGCTCCACACAGAGACAAACTTCCTGCCAATAGGCATGTGTTCCTGGCTGGTCTGTACCCTTGGTTGAGTCTACCCAGGGGAGGGCCACAGCCCGTCTCCAGCTCACATGGCTGCTTTGTCCCCAGAGGGACTTGCGCATCTCTGATATCCCTGCAGCTGGCTTTCAGTGGTCACACACACAGAAGAGGACAGAGGGCAAAACCTAGGGCCATGAAGGGTAGACGTTTGGATAGAGACCGTCACATAAAGCCAGGAACCCAAAGGCCAACTCCGTAAGTGGCTGGACTAGAACCAGGCCTGCCCAACAGGGAGATGGTGAGGGTTCTCTCAGCTGCACCTTGGCCCCCCGGGGAGAAGAGAGCCCCTCTCCTAACACAGTCCCCTCTCTGTGGGCAGGAGGCCCGTGCCTCACACTTGCTGTGACTGGCGGGGCCGGCCCCCTCCCCTGGGCCTTGCCCACCACCCTGGGCCCTGGGCCCTGGGCCTCAACCTGCCACTGCCTCCTGCTCCTCCCTGTCATCTCTCCTCCACCTTGTGAATCAGACTTTTCAGACTTTTAGATCCGGAAATAAGCTGGTCACATCATTTGTTCACATGTCACACGTGCCCCCTTAGGGGCAAGGTGAAGGGAAGAGTGTTCCCGGACCGCCTCTCCCTGGGGCCTCCTGGACCTTCCTCTGGAACAGGCTCTGTGGTCCTCAGGTTCCAAGGGCCCACAGTGTAGGCTGCCCTTCCCCGAGTCACCCAGTGACCCATGTGCAACTGTCCCAAAGGGCAGAGCGTGTCCATCACTTTCCCTAACAACGGGTAGCTCACCTGTAACTCCTGTGCTGGCCGGGGCTGTGTGGGTGGGACCCACGTCACTGCAGACGTGACCAACATGGAGAACTGTTGCAGAGAGGAGGGACTCACTGCTTCCCACCTCTGCGGTGACAGCAGGGTGGGGGCGAGCTACCTGAGGAGCAGCTGAGGGGCAACAGTACCGTCCCCAAGAACGTCTTCCACCGTAGACGAGGAAAGGCTAAGCTGACCTGGGGCAGCCCGGGTGAGGGCCCGATAATGGTGACATTCACTGGGCGCTTGTGTCCATGTGATGGGCACTGCTGGCAGTGGGCCTTGCTGTCTTCTTGGCCTTAGACATCCCGGGAGGTGGCTTTTTCTGTGACTGTTGACAGCGCTTCACCCCAGAATGCAAGCAGCACCCTCATTTATCTCCTGCCCTCCTTCTTGACTTTTCTGGTGTTGCCTGCACTTGGCCCCATTTCTCAGTAGAGTGCCGAAGACGAGAGAGTGAGAGAAAGCTCCCAGGAGGACCGGTCGGGCCTGGCCAGCAGCGTGCGCACCAGTGGCTGCAGCCAGCCTGACAGACTGGAGCATGGCTCAGGTCTGACCAAGACCTGGACGTGTGTCCCCATGCCACTGCTCTGGCAGAAGGGGAGGAGGCAGGGAGCCCATCAGGGGCAATGAGAGTTGGGTGCCTCATAGTAACCACAGCTCTGCACCTGGGGTGCCGGGACCGGAAGCAGTGCTGAAGTTTTCCGTCTCCCATCATTGACTCCCATTCCAGCCACAAGCAGCTGCAGCTGGTTGAGCCATGGTGGTCAGGAAGGTAGGAGAGCTTCGAAGCAAATGCCTCCAGTGACGCCGAGGTGCTGGCCCAGCACACCCCCTTTCTTTCTGCATCAGCCACACACAATGGGGCTAAATGTTGTCCGCTATAGACTCATCACCCCAACTATTCCTCGATGGCTGCTTCTCTCCTCCCGCCTTTAACTGCTTCTGCGCCGGTTTTTATTTTTAATTGTTTTGCTTTGTGCACGTTTAATTGCACAAACCGCCTTGGTTCTTTGGGATGGAACGCTCGGAGTATAAATCCTAACTAAATGTATAGTAAGAAAGTTACACTAAAGTAACCGAGTTAAGCCCAGCGTGATCAACAGCTGTGACTACAAGGGGCTAGTCCAGAGTGATCCTGTTCATGAACTTGGAAGCTTAATATAAGTGCAGAAGCTCTGGAGGAGTTAGGCACACCGTGGAAAAGATGATCCGTGGCTGGAGCTGGCTCCGGAAACCACGTGCTGCGATCAGATGGGACTTTGCCCCAAGGAGGCTCCCAGAACCTGTTGCCCATGGCATCCTGAGCTCAGGTCATTCCAGAGCGTTGGGGCCGAGTGTACAAGTCGGGGGGTGATACTGCCTTGTCAACTGTCACCATGCAGCTTCTCCACTAGGCTAAGAACTATGTCACAACTCTCCAATAAATTGTCATCATTCCTGGCAGAGTTAGGGGGATTCTGTGCCCAAGGATTTAGCTGACAAGAAAGCTAACTCTTAGAGTGAATAACACATCTGGAAATAAACTGGAATCACTGAAGAGGAAACCCTCGCACAGCTATAGGAGCAGTGGCGTAAGCACTGGCCACTTCGGCCACTCTGGTCACCTGGCTGCCTCTTTTGATAGAAAACAGCCCCCTTGCTAGATGACGCCAGGCCTACAATGGGAAGTTCTAGATGATGCAGTGCCTAAGGCATTTGACTCCTAACCAGAAAGTTGGCAGTTCAAACCCACCAGCCACTCCATGGAAAAAAGACTGGACAATCTACTTCTGTAAGGATTTACCACCTTAGAAACCCAGTGGGGGTCGCTGTGAGTCAGAATTGACTCAATGACAGTGAGTTTGGTTTGGTTTGGTTAGATGCTGTCTGCAGCAGAGAGAATGGGAGGAGACTGGACACAGGCAGGCCTGGCCGGGCGCTGAGTGGGTCAAGTGCAGTCCCACGAGCTCCCAGAGAAGCAGACAGGCGGCCAGCAGCAGCAGCCTGGACAGACCAACTGCTGCTGGAATGTCCTCGTTTGTCTGCATGCAGAGTAGGTTCTCAGAGCCGCGTTGTGGGAATGGAAGCCAGCCTCAGAATCACATAAGGCTGCCAGGCCCGCTTCTCACACAGCCCTGGGCTGGTCATCGAGGACCAGGCCAGGCACCCTCTCGCTCCTTGCAGTTCTTTCTGAGTGGTTAGCAGACACCTGCTGTCACCCCAGGAGTAACACCCCGTGACAGTGCTGCTCAGCCGGCTCTCCTCGGCCACCTTTTCCACTGGCCGAATCTGTGGCGGGAAGACGGGTGCTCGCCTGCCTAACGCCCATCAGTCACCCTTCCCCACCCACCTGAGAGTTTAGTCTCCATAGTAATTGTGAAGCTGCCACTTCCAACTGATGCTGAAGGGCAGTGCGCTTCCATGGTGCGAATCCTGGCGAGGTCTCTGTGAAGGGGATGATGTTCCCGTTTTAGCGATGGGAAAATAGACAGAGAGATTAGGTGACTGCCCTGGTCCTTCTGTTCCCAAATTCCCAGACCTCCTACTCCAGCTGCCTCCCGCTGATCCATTGTGTCCAGCGGGACACCCTGGTTTACTCTCCAGCGGCACCAGGGATGACGTGCAAGCGACATGCAGTTGACAGGAGAGAACAGGCATTTCTCTGGCAGCCTCTCTCCTGCCATCAGCTCTCTTCCACCTCCAATCCCAGCGCCAGGGCCACCGTCCCTCCTCTGGCCTCTGATTGGCTGAAAGTGCCAGCACATTGGAAGGCTCTGTTAGGTGAAAGGTTAAATATGCTGAAATAAGCCTGGCTCTCATAAAAGAAGTTGCGTTTCCACCCTTTACGTTTATGGGAATACTTTGCTTAGGAAAACAGCTACAGCGTTGTGCATGTTTTAGGAAGAGAATGGCCAAAGTGTCTGTAATTCACTGTTTACCCATGAGAATTACTCCCAGGAGCTATCCTGCAATAAAATCTTCTTGGTCTATGAGAACAGAAAGAAATTGAATCAAAAGACTCTATTTCCACTTGTATTTATTCAGCCTGGGAAATTCAGTGGGCCGGAGCGTTAATATCAGCAGGGGATTCCTTGCTCCTAGCGTTAAATTACTGTCATAATCGCTCAATTATTTCTTCCTTGTACTGTTTAAAAATAAAAATCCATCACATTCGGTGTTTTTTTTTCAGCATTTATTAGGTTGAGTGTTTAGGAAAATCAATTATAGTCAGTCAGGCGTGAATTGATGAATGTTCCCGTAATAATTGTCAGTTGTTAAACTGCGTGTACTTTCTCTTCTCACCCCTTCCCGTTTCCTCCAGAGGGCAGAGGTGGCGCAGAGAGAGGCAGAGACCCTCCGGGAGCAGCTCTTGTCGGCCAACCACTCTCTCCAGCTGGCCTCGCAGATCCAGAAGGCTCCGGATGTGGTGGGTAGTCCCGGCTGGTCGTGGCCGTCGGGCCCCTGCCCGTCTGCCATCCGCAACTTTATGTCGCAGCTGCTCTGTTATTTCTGTCTCTTTTCGGAATGGTATTCTGAACAGAACTGCTTTCTTGGTGGGAAGGGCTTTGCACCCTGTGGGGGTGGAACCTGTTAAGTCAAATGACAAACTCTGGCGATTATGCATCACGGTCAGTGTGAGGCTCCCCGGCAGAGATGGAGGGCGGGTGAGGTGGCTCACGCTGGCCTGGAGAGTAACTGGCAGTGTCGGGGGGAGCTTGTAAATGGAATCCCTGCCAGCGCTACAGGAGCGCTCGGGAGTTTGTCCTCCCAGATGTGTACCTCCGTGGTGAGAAGCCGTTTGTGGTGAGCTGGGGAGGCCAGGGAGGTCATTAAATTACCACCTGCCCCGACTTACACATCACTGCACTCTGGTGAGGTGCTGGCCTTCGGGAGGAGCAAGGCACAGAGCCTGGTCGTTTTGCCTCTTGGTTTTTCGGTGATTAACCAAAGCAGCTCTTGGCTGGAACTTCCCGGCTGGTTCTCACACTCTTTCCCTTCATCTGCCGCAGCGTCGTGGTTGAGGCCACAGACACCAGCCATGCTCCTGGGTTCATGTCCCAGCTCTGCAGCTTGTTAGCCGGGTGACTTTGGCCAAGTGCCCCAACTTCTCTGCATCTCTGGTCTATCGTCTATAAAGTGGGGTTTTTATGAGAAGTCAAGAACTTACTGTGAGAGGAATGCTTAGAGCGATGCCTGGCGCACAGGGAGTCCTCCGTAAACCTTTGCAGTGACTCTGACTACTGTCGTTGGAGGCATTGTCTCTGATCCAGGAGCCCTAGTTTTTATTAAGCTCAGCTCTGGGGCTAGTTCGCTTACAAACCTCAGGTAGTTAAACTGGCCAGGCCTCAGTTTGCTCATTTATGGTAAAGGAATTAAGTGATCCAGAGGCCCCCTGAGCTCTGATAAACCAAAATAATCAAGCTTGCTGCCAGTGAGTCGATTCTGACTTATGGCGACCCCCATTGAATTTCTGAAAGGTAAATCTTTACGCAAGTACATTGCCCCATCCTCTTTCCACGCGGTGGCTGGGGGGTTTGACCCACCCACTTTCTGGTCAGCCTACAATAAATGTATTGCAGCTGGAGGTGTTCTTTTACTCAACCAAGATTTCTCGAGCCCTTGTTGGGAGCCAGGGGTTGTAGCAGACACTGGGAAAACAATGAGGAATGACTGTGGGTCCTTCCCCGAGAGATGGTGGAGTAATAGAAAGAAATTATTGTTGTCTTAAGTTCATATGTCGGTTTGACACCCATTATGTCACCTAATCTGTGAAACAAGATATTGTTATTTCTCTATACAGATGAGGAAGCAGGAGCTCTATGACTGTAAACGTTCCTCCAGAGCACAGTTAGTCAGCTTCTGGGCCAGGGCTGGACTGGGCTCTTTTGACTGCCTGAGCCGGTCACTGCCAAGTCAATCCCGGCTCACAGCGGCCCCCGTGTTTGTCAGAGTGGGACCATGCTCCAAGGGTTTACAGTGGCTGGGGGTTTAGACGGAGATCACCAGGCCTTCCTTCCAAGGTACCGCTTGGTGGACTTGAACCACCAGCCTCTGGTTAGCGGTCGAGCGCGGCCACCGTTGGTTCCAAGCAGGGACTCCCCTAGCTCCCCAGCCCAGGGCTTTTAAACTACAGCGAAACCTGAGAGAGCTGGAACGCAACAAGACTGTCTTGTTTGTCCGGGTCTCAGAAGTTTTCCGTTTTGGACAGAGTACAGTCACCACTTTTCTGTCACTCTCCATTTAGTGGAAAATATTTTTGTTTTCCTTCTCTGACAGGTTTCCACCTTGTACACATTCCAGCTCTCACAGGTCTTACTGTATTCCCAAGGTGGTGGTGGTTGTTATGTGCAATCGAGTCATACCCGACTCATAGCGACCCCTCCTTGGGTTTCCGAGGCGGTATCACTACAGAAGTAGATTGCCCAACCTTCCTTCCGAGGAGTGGCTGGTGGGTTTGAACCGCCAGCCTTCTGGTTAGCAGTCAAGTGCCTTAGGCACTATGCTGCCAGAGCTCCCGTATCCCACAGGAGTGAGTCTGAAACCGCATTTAATATCAGGGCTACTTTTTAAGGATGGAGTTGAGTTTCTGTCTTTACGTCACTTTAAATGAAACATGATTTGCGTGTTCCAGGATCTGGAGAGAAGTTCTCCATTAACGAGGAGACTCTTGTACTTAATCCTAACCACAATGTGCCCTTTGCTCTGTTACTTTTCCCTCATCCAAGTTCAGGGGGCCTGGATACCGTGCCACAGCCAAAAGGCAGTCCTTGGGGCTTGGGCTCAGTCCCAGCCTCTCCAGCCCCTGTGGGCACTTGGTGCTCTAAGGAGGCCATCCATTCTCCTGTGTCTACACAGGGCTCCTGAGGAGATTGTTTTGATTGAAAGGATTTTTGGCACCGTTCTGGACTGCAGCAATGCCAACATTTCGGAAGGAAATGAGTGTTTTTGCAGGTAGAGTAAGTTGTAGATCCTCAGGGTGCCTAAGCACTTCTCCATTGCTAAATGCAGTGTTTACCTGGCGTCGAGTCAGTCTTCAAAGAGCCGCCTTGCTGGGCCTTCCACCGGGTCTATGTTCCCACAGAGTCAGGGCGTTCCAGCTCAGCCGGGTGGGTAGACAACATAGGAAACTCAGCCAGCGGAAAAATGGTCTGTTGGGTTTGGCTGGCACAGCTCGGCAGAGAAACAGTAGAGTCTATAGAAGTAGCAAAGGCCAAACCGATCCGTTGGGTGTTGGCGGAGTCACCAGTCCTAGAAGGCCTGGCGGCCACCTCCAGAGCTCCTATTCTGTGTCAGGAACCGACCAGGTGTCACACGGGTATGTTTCTGCCTTCCGACACCACGGTCACCGGGGCTGCTGTTGTTGTCATCGTTCTACAGATAAGGAGCCTGAGGTTGAGACCAAAACCAAACCAAACCTGTTGCTGTCAAATCGGTTTAGACTCGTGGTGACCCCACGTGTCGCAGAGTAGAACTGCTCCATAGGTTTGCTTGGCTGTAATCTTCATGGGAGCAGGCCTCCTGGCCTTTCTTGCTGCTGGATGGGTTCGAACCACCAACCTTTAGGTTAGTAGACAATTGCAAACTATTTTGCCACCCAGGGACCTTCTGAGGCTCAGAGAAGTTAAGTGATTTGCCCAAGGCCACACAGCTAGAACATGGTAAAGCTAAAACTTTTGTCGTTGTTATTGTAAAACACTGGTTTGTCGTATGCTATCCTCATAAGTGTTGCCCACTGTTGCAGCCGCTACGTCTGTCAATCCATCTCATTGAGGGTCTTCCTCTTTTTGCACTGACTCTCCTCTTTACCAAACGTGAAGTCTTTCTCCAAGGACTGGTTCCTCCTGTTAACATGTCCAGAGTACGTGACATGAAGGCTCGCCGTCCTTGCATCTAAGGAGGATTCTGGCTGTGCTTCTTCCAGGACAGATTTGTTTGTCCTTCTGCTCGAGTATATTCAGTCGCCAGCACCACAATTCAAACGCATCAGTTCTTCTGCGGTCTTCCTTATTCATTGTCCAGCTGTTACACGCACATGAGGCAATGGAAAATACCATGGCTCGGGTCAGGTGCAGTGTAGTCTTCAAAGTGACATCTTTGCTCTTAGCACTTTAAAGAGGTCTTTTGCAACAGATTTCCCCAGTGCAGTGCATCATTTGATTTCTTGACTGCTGCTTCCACGGGCATTGATTGTGGATCCTTGTAAATTTAAACCTAAGTTTGACCTTCTCCAAAGTCCATTCTTTCTCCCTGACACTAACCGACCCGTTTGTTCATGTGTGTTGGAGGAGACAATCCATATGAACGTGCTTTGTGAAGTGTTGTTAGGTTGTTGTTCGGCGCCATTGAGCTGGTTTCCGACTCACAGTGACCAACGTGATACAGCGCAACTGCCCCATTGGGTTTTTCTTAGACTGTGATCTTCACAGCAGCACATCTCCAGGTGTTTTCTCCCCCCAAGGCATTGGCTGGGTTCAAACCGCCAACCTTTGAGTTGGCAACCAAGTGCTCAACGTTGTCCCAGTGGGGCTGCTTACTTTGTAAATACTGTAAAGTATTTGCAGACAAATAAGATCTGTTCAGGGCTTGTGTACACCACACCAGGCCACCATTTTTAGCCTAAACAGACCACCATGTTAGAACCAGTGCATGGATACACACAGTAGACGCCCACCTCCTTCGTTTAACTGGTGGTGGCAGAAGTAGAGGTGGCAATGAGAAAGAAATCTAAAACTGAGGTTCCTGTTCCCTCATTGTGCCCCTCAGTGGGGCAAATGGAACCAGAAGCTTAGTCTGGACTGCCGTTGTCTGCCTCACGGGTGGGGCCTTGGCTTGCCATCACTCTGCAGTGCGGGTCCCCTTGTATGGGGTAGCACTCCTGCATCTCATTCACATTCAGTGTGAAGGTGGCAGCAGGGTCAGAGAGGTCGTTCTCAGCTCATCTCAGTCTCAGGAAACAACCCCGTAGACAGCTGCACAGCTCGTGCTATTTCCCACAGGCAGATGTGGGGTGAGGGGAGGCGAGCGGGTCTGGAGACAAATTGATGGAAGGCCACCAGAGTAATTCCTGTTTTTATGTATCTTTTATCCTTTGAAAACACACGCACCACTGGCATCGTAAGCCTTCCTGTTAACCACTGTATACGAGACAGGAATGGTGCCTGGTTCATCATCAATGAGGAATGTGGCTCAGGTTCCTGAGTGTTAAGTGACATGCCCAAGGTCACACACCAACCTGTGGCAGAGCCAGAGTAGGCCTGGGGTTGACAGACGGTTCACTCCCAGGTGCCTGTCTTCGGGCCAGAGTCAGCCCTGGGAGCTGCTGTCCTTACACATAGTATCTGAACCATTAGTCCTGATGTGTTGACTCAAAGTTGCCCACTTTACAAGGCAGATCATCTTTTGCTTGTTTTACAGGCTGTGTCCCTA